CCAGACACATTTCTGCGGGCTCTACAAGATATGATGAAGAACAGGAATACTCCCATCACCGGAGATCCCTTCATCGATGGGAAGAGGATTGATCTCTTCGGTTTGTTTCAGGCGGTCCTGACGCACGGTGGTTCCCTCTCTACCACGCAGAAGAATCAGTGGCCAACAGTTGCGCAGGCAGTAGGCTTGCAGATCAATCCTTCCGACCCTCAACGCTCCATGCAAACCGTCAATCAAGTCAAGACTCTGTACACAAGCATGCTGAACCCTTTTGAGGAGCTTTGGCTCAAGGCGATTACCAAACAGCGACAGCAGCTGCGAGATAATCCAGACTCCATCCGCCTCCCCAACAACTCTCAATCTCCTCCAGCTCCTACTACGTCTAACATGCCGCTCAATCTCGGCCATCAGAATCCATCGATGCTCACCCAACAGTTCTCAGGTGGACCTACCCAAGCCGAGCTGGAGTTGATGAAGGTACCGGAATCGGCCAGTCCGTACAAAGCAACTACCATTCCCGCTGCCAAAGCGTCCGTTGATGCGATAAAGGCCAAGTTAGATGAAAACGGTCGTGAGTTTCCTTCTTCAGACAAGATCCACATCTGACTTTGATGAACAGCGAGATTGAAAGTTATCGATAATTTGAATCCGATGCAGAAGGAACAGATCCGACGCACAATTCCGTTGCTGAAAAATGACTTACAGCGATGTATCAAAATCCTACCCAACTTTCTTCAAATGTCTGGTGACATGATGGCCACGCATAAACTCCTACTCATGGTGCGCCCCGTCATGCTTCTCAAGTCGTGTGACACCGTTGTGTTAACTCAAAATTAGATCCGGATGTTCGAAGACCAAGAAATTCAACTGAAGAACGAGCAGTTCCTCCTTACTCCTGCTGATCTGGACAAACTGAAGTCTCAAATCGAACGCTGCTTGGAGTTCGTCAATGGAAAGTCTAATAACACTGCAGACGCGAGCAAGGCGGCCAGCACGGAGAATACCGAGTTTGCAAAGAACATCAACCCTGGCACTCGCATGGAAGATCTCAAACAACCACCTGCGAAACGCGCCCGTCACAGTACCGACGGACCTGCTGCGAGCCCTGAACAAGAATCGTCGACATCCCCCAATACGAAAATCCCGAGGAAGAACTCAGGCAGAGGCGGGAAAGCTGTTCGAGGGAAAGGTGTAAAGGTAGGGAAAGGGGACTTCGCGAAGAATGTCGACCAGGTGAAGAAAGAGTTGGGAGGAGCGTCAGCCTCTCCGCCCACCGGCGCAGATGTCAACGTGAACGCTGGCGGGTCTTCGGAAACGGCGACAGCTGGACCATCTATGAGCGCTCCGAATCAGTCCACCTCTAAGCCACCTTCTATCGAAGATACTGATAACATTTGGCAGAACTTAGCTGCTACGACTTCGCTCGCCGGAGGATCGACGTCTCTTGCTGACGAAGTCGCGTCGACAATTCGTTCGGACCTGAAGGGAACGCTCGATTTCAATCTCGAACTATCGATTCCACCAGTCATTCCTGGAGCTGATAAGAAGGCCCCTCCTCTGGCAGCCACCTCGTCGTCAATCATCGAGCCTTTTAAGGCTCTGGGTGCTCCTGCGCCAGAACTTTCTTTCCCCGGTCTCGAAGGCGATACGTCCGGCCCTCTTGACATTGACTTCCTAATAGATCCATCGGCTTTTGGAGGCGAAGACGAGGCAACGCCGGACCTAGTTGGTGGCTTGAATGGGACAAAGTCGACAGAAACGTCGCCTCAATCAGACGGTGATGATGAGATGCTCAAGTTACTGAAGGAAAGTGGGTTCAATGCACCTACCGATAGTTCCCTCACGGATTCGGATACCGAAGCTCAGCTTCTTCAGTACGAGAAGATGTTCGGTGCGGACTCGGCCAAGTTCATGAGCGACAATTTGGACGATATTTCAGCCCTATTCAACACTGAAGGAACGAATCTGCCCGATTTCAGTTGGCCACTTTCCATGTCCTGAATCCGTTTAGGGAACCATTTGCTCCGTATCGTTACTTAGTGTGTACCTCCTTTTATTAGTTTCTCACGGCTGTGCTACTACGTACTTATGCTTTTCTTTGGGTATGACCTTTTGGAAATCTGAAATTAGTTATGTTGGTCATATGATATGGTAAATGAAGTGAAGCTGCAGCGCATGAGTCCAAATTTTATGATACATATATGTGTGTCGTCCTCAGTCAAAAGTTCCTACCCCTAGCAATCTCGTTTGCTGTCTTTCAAATTTACTTCATGAGTGACAACTGACACTTTGACTCTCCCCCTTCATCGAAACTTTCTTGCTTCCTGTCCTCCCTTGGGTCTCGCAGAGGCCTTGTTCGTGTCGTCCTCTTCTCTTCAAAGTCTTCTACCATTTGGCGCCCTTTGTTTCTGCTCTACAGTGCCTCTACTGAGCTTGACGCGAGTGTTCATCTCTTCGCTCGTTTCAATGATGGAGAAGTATGAAGCAGTTCTACTGTAATACTTTGGATCGTCTACTACTCATCTTATATTAATACCAGGCTGCAATATCGACCTCTCCATTACATTGCTTCTCCATCGGTTCCTATTTCTTGACATAAGTAACGCCTGCACGCAACATTATTATGACGACCTAAAGTGTTCACTATTTTACAGAGCAAAGCCTAGTTTCCAGCACATAGGATCACGAGTCTGTCACATCAAGCGAGATAGAGGGGGCTTTACGACAGAGGGGCAGAAGGTTACATAGGAAAAATGTCAGTTCAGCACACATCACCCTTGATGACAAGAGCAGCCTGTGGTGGACTACGGCCCTCTTTGCGATTTCGTCCGCTCAATCCAGCTTCGAATCGCCTCAGCACGCTGCTCTCCATTCTGGCGGGGAGGTAATGTGCTAATAGCCTGCAGCCAACGGGCTTGATTATTGTATATCTCTTCTAACTGTTCTATTAGTCATCATCAGCCAAGGGAGATGTTGTGTTCACGCGATAGGAGTGCATACGGATTCGAATTTCGAGTCTTGCGATCCGCGACTCTTCGGTTTCCTCACTTGGACCCTGCAGGGCAGCGGAACCTATGACTGTTTGACTTCCCCCTGGTTGAAGCCCCCGAGCGATCTGTTCCGCCGTCCTAACGCAATGATCGCAAAGGCGAGCCTGCAACGACCTGACGACAGAATTTGAGTGGTTAGATGGCACAGATGAGTTCGTTATAGGTCCTCTGCACGCTGAAGAGCATCCATGAGTTTTGAAAGACAGACTATGGCACAAACCTTGGCAAATCATGATGGGCTGTTTCACGTCTTGTGGCAAACGTTGGCGTTCTGTAGACATATTCTGTTGCCGTTGCAAATGATGCCGTTAAAAAGCATAGTGGAGCGCGGAAGGAGACAAGGATGGTCACCTTGGATAGGTCGTTCCGGCAATGTATCGATGGATCGAGTGGTTCAATTAAGAACAAGAGGAGATAAAAGGCGGGCCGAATTAGACAATGTGTCTTCTAACTTGTCGCTCCACAAGCCTCCACTTATCAAGGATCATTACGGTCTCCCACCAGTTCATCGACGGTCAGCAGGGTTATTGAGCTCTGGGCCGGGGAATCTCGAATACTGGAGGGTTCAGCCGACAACACAACTTTTGGCATGAAGAACCGGGAATGCAGAAGTGGAAGCGATTGTCCTTAGAACGAGATTCGGAATACCCGAGCGTTACCTGGACAGTAAGTAAGACGCTTTCCGAGCTCATCGCGTGCAAGCGAGTTTCTAAGCCCATCCCGAGAAAGAGGTGAACGACCGAAGTCGAAATCGCTGACATGGTGAAAGCAAAAGGGTGGTTATTCATCATAAGGACGGACGGTTGTTCTGACGAGTTAAGCTCAAGCCTTGATAAAAACCGCCCGTCGCTCAGCGACGAATTGGCGACGTGCTGCCATTGTCAGAGCGCGCCGACGAAGGACGTCGCTGAACCAATCATGGACAATAAAATAGGAGACGCCATGATGGATCAGTTCAGCGAGCCCGTGGAACCGGAAGGTGGTAACTTTTGCACCACCCGCTGCTCGGTGCACGGACAGGTCACCGATCAGCGCAAGATCTCCTGCCTCTTCGTTTCGTGGTGGGTAAAATAGATGAGTGGCAAAAGATAGATCTGCCGGAAAGCTGTCGTGTTCGATAAAGATAAATATTGCTCGTCATTTTCCTAAACGCGTCTCCCAGAGACATTAATTGTATCATCACGTCACACATATTCATGGCTAATTTCTCATCCTTAGGTCGCTAGCACCACACCACCGCGAGCACCATGGACTCCTCATGACCGAGACTGCGCATCCTCTTGCATTAACAGTATTACCCTGTTATACTGTTATAAATGAGATGCACAACCTCAACAGTAGATTCGGATTTTGCACAGCACAGACAGCCAAAGTTACGGCGCCAAAGACGAATGAAAGGATAGGAAATCTCTCGTTCTCCATCCTCAGGGCGCCCAGACAGCAGCAACCGAAGGTCAATATTCGCTCATATTGGAATACAGAACAAACATTAACGCTCTAAGTGAAGTTCAATAGCCACTTGGCCGGTAAGGAGTGCTTGACGAGAAATTCCACCGTCTGTAGATACGGGCCCCATATTCAGGAAAGCAAGGAAAAGCGTGAACGCAGAGCCAGAGGCAAACCCATGACGAACACGTCCAATTACCCCCGAGACGGATCCAAGCTCTATGTCTGAGGCTGAGTTTTCCAGCACCCACTTTCGAAATTGCCAGAGGTTGTATTTCCCGAAGATAGGTGGATGTGGAATGAGACCGACGCACATTTTGAACAGAGGTGTGGCAAGATCCGGCACAGTGCACTGAAAGCACGCATCATGCGTAGTTATCGATAGGACAGAGCAGTTATTAACGGCAGAGTATGAGTGATGGTGTCAGAGAGGCAAGGAGGAAATGACTAAGGGCCACTACAATCAAGCCGTATAAATGAATGCTGCAATCTTGCAGTAAGAAAGCGGGAGTAGCGCAGTCGGTAGCGCGCAAGCTTCACATTGTGGGAACGCTTGAGGCCCTGGGTTCGAGCCCCAGTTTCCGTATATTTTTGCTGATGTTTTTCTTCCTTACTTGTACACCCCCGTCTCTACTTGCTTCACTCTCAATTGCATTGTAATTGATTACAACATTTTGCCCCAAGCAGCCGATGTGCTTGCTAACCCCATATGTAGTAGCTTTTAATATTAAGTCCAGCGAACCTTTGTCTGTTGTCACTCATTCATCCATTGCCAGAATTCGTGGCCAAGGGATAACGAGGTTACTACTATCTCTTGCAGACGCTGGTTAGACCCTGTTTTTAACCAGGGACTGGACCGCTGACTTCGCCAATTTTGGGCTCTTTGGGTACGTGCAAGGTAGGTTCAACCCTTATTGCATTGCTTAGGCACTTCGTAGGTATAATAGGACACTTGAGCCTGCATATGTTTGTGACACTTTTGCATGTTTTTCTTGACTGCTTCTGTAGTGTCTCAACAAGTCGCTAAAAGCCTAAAACAGCTTGTAGCAAGAGTCTTGTATATCAAGCGCGAGTACTTTCCCAGGGTCGATGAGGTGAGTTTTTTAAGAGGCAAGCATAATGAATGATAGCCGCAATGGATCACGATGTTTAAGGAGTGCAATAGTACAACTTATCTTGCTGCTGAATTTTGTAAGGAGACGCTCCTAATGGGTCGTCATTATAAACTGTTCCACTCTACTAAGTCACAACAGATATCGCAGACAATGTAACCATTGTTCCATGAGCCGCCCAGAAATGACAGCGTGACGTAGTGTAGAACAGAGATAGCGATAGTGAAGTGCACTAGGGCTACCTAGAGATACCAAATCATGCGATGCCCGCCGCTTTATCTAATATTCCATGCCATTCCAGCTCCTTAGCAGGTTCGTAGTTTTGGTCATGTTTGACAGAAATTGGGTTAGGCTTGTTTTGGGATGCATCAACGACATCATCAATTGTTCTTCATCCTCTTCTCCGAACCAACTTCCAATCTCCCCCTTCCTCTGTAAGGGGAGAACCTCCAACCCCATAGAATCCTACTTCACGACCAGTCTACAGTACACCAGGGGCGAGACTCCGGTTTTATAATATCAGGGGAGGTGGACCTACCGAATTTTAAACTTTTGAGGAGTTAGACACTGATCGGAGGAAATAATGTACGTTCTTCTTTCTTCTCTGAACGTCTGCTGTGGATGAGAGTATAAAGAGGTGTTTTGTGAAGTCCACAACGCTTTAAAGGAAAGGACGGTGCAGATAACAATCTTCTTCCTGCATTATCTTGCAGCGATTTGAAGGAATTATGTCCACATCCAGCTGGTGTTCTTGAGCTACTACATATCTGCTAGCCAAAGATATTCGCAGACTCATTTCGACAGAAGAATAAGTTCGCAGTATACCTGACGGCCCTTATTTCGTGTCTCTTAGCATTACTTTGCTTTGGAATTGAGGGTCGAGCTACCCTGAGCTGATTGCGGCGTGATCACTTGGAGGCGGGCCGTTTGTTAGAGTGTAGATCGATGTGTGCTCCAACCTATTCCAACCAGTGTACTCTGGAGATAGTAACTGGAGACCCATGATCAGATATGCGAATGCGGGGTTGAAGCGATATGTAGTGACCGATCGGTTTTTACTGACTTGGTATTGACAGTGTCATCGATCCGCCCGTTCTCAACAACAACGCTACCCACTACATCTATCGTTCTCTCACTCCCTTCTCCAAACATCTATCGCCATCCATCAACTCAGGCTGGCTCGCGGCGAACGCGACCATAGGCGTTAACGCAGCGGTATCATATGGAACGACCCTCCAATCTGCTCTCGCTAGCAAAACATGGCTCCATCGCATCTTCTTCTTCACTCGCTCCCTCCATCTCTGTCATCCCTTCCAGCAACATCGTAACCCCACCAAGGCGTCCTGCGCTCCCAACAGCCATCCCCTCTCCATCGCTCCACGTAGATTTCCTCTCCCCATCTCCAGCCTACTCCTCCTCCTCCGATTCCTCCGTCGACGCCCTCGAGTTCCTCGCTGCTACCACCGCCACCGCTGGATACAGATCCATATTTCCCCTGTCGTCAGGGGTCCATGCAGGGGTACAACATCCTGGGATCGATCGGAGAGTGACCGATATACCGATGGTGATCGAAAGGGAAGAGAGAAAGATGAACGAGACGGCGGTCGGAGGAAGGGATGTGGATGCAGAGGCGGCCATTAGAAGCGCTAGCATGCCCGAGATCCCTGTTGCTTTGGATCTGGATGTGAACGGCCAGCAAATGGAGATTGAGACACTCGACAACATTCCCGAGCTGCCAACGCTACCGACGTCTATCCAGCCTCACCCTGCGGCGAAAAGCTACGTTCCAAAGAAAAGCTCAAAGTTGGCGTTGAAGAGGGATACGATTGAGGAGACGACCTCTAGTGAGGAGGGTCTACCCATTCCAACGACGGTAAAGCGCGTGACCAAGAAAAAGAGCTCGAAGGTGGGAATGCGGAGAGAGACAGTGGAGGAGAAGAAGACAACGGAGGACGCGGCGACGTCTCAGCCAGTGGGAAGGACGCATCTCCCGAAGAAAAGCTCAAAGCTGACTCTGCGAAGGGAGACGGACGAGACGTCCCCGACGATGGACGATCCACCGACCACGAAAATGTTCACGAAGAAGTCGTCAAAGCTGGCGTTGAGAAGGGATGGTAGTAAGAGCAGTGCGGTGGAGGCGGCGGATGATACCCCAACAAAGAAGAGTGTACGAGAGAAGGAGAAGGAGAAGAGTAACGAGGTCTCCACCCCGACAAAGCTAATCAGGGCTGCATCCCTGTCGGCAAAGGAGAAGCAGAAACCGGACGACGACAGTACGCCAACGAAGACACGTCCAAAGCCTAAAGCCAACGCTTCGTTGTTAGACGATGACGAGGCAAGAGGGTGTACTATTCCTGATCTGATCTCCAGTTCGCCTACGGACTATAACCAAGAGACAATCGGGAAGCGGAAGGGAGCGCTCAAGCTCGGTCTCGTGCCTATCCAGACGAAAACAGCCCACCTCCCAATCCCCTTCCCTTCCTCAGAGCCACCGTTTACGAGAGCTATCAGCAGCCCTACGAAAGAATCGTTTGGAGACATATTACCTTCGCCAACAGTCAGCGCGAGGCCTGCGTTCACGGAAACAGACGCGCAGAGTAAGGGGTCGATCAAGATTCCTAGGAGTGACGAGACAAGAAAGATGACTGCGGTTGACTTGCTGGAGCAGCTGAACAGTGAATTGCCGCCGCTCTCTCCAGCGTCCTTGCCCAGCCCAACGGAAAGGATCCACCCAGACCTCGCGTCCCTTTCCCCTCCCGAGTACAACACGTCCATCCCTATTAACTTGTCTTCATCGGCTCCCGGAAGGACTTCGTTCACAGCATATTCTGATGAAGATCCATTGACGGATTCCGATCTTGGGGATCTGGAGGAAGAGTTTGGGGATGGAATCGAGGATATCGAAGAAGAAGAGGACCCCGATCTTTCCCCGCTCTTCTTTGCGCTCAGCCAATCAAAGTCTCCCGTCCTTCAGGAAGCCTGGGATTATGCTCGCATGATCCTCATCCCTCCTAAACGATCTCTACCCAGTGAAGTTTCGGATCTGGCGAAGCAGTTAGGTGGATCGACGTCTACATCTCTCTTGAGAGAAAAGGACGACGATCTGGAACGGACGGAGGCGTGGATTGCGATGCATGCCTTCGCAAGAGCGAGCGCATCTGAACAGCAAGAGAAAGTGATGTGGAATGGATTCGTGGGAAAACTCCCTTCCTATTTTCGAAACGGCAAATCGGCAAGAATGGAGGCTATCAAGTATAAAGCAAGCCGCAAACTTGATGTTCGACTCCTTGCCTCTGCGAAGGAATCCCCTGCAGATATTTCCTCCGCCGCTCCAGCCTCGCCCAATCTTAAACACTTGCCTTCCATCAGCTCCCTTGTAGCAGCTGAGAAGAAATCTCACTCGCGTCCTCCCTCAGAGGACGTTGCACTTGCAACTTGGCGAACCGTGGATATCGTGAATGAACTACCCATGGCATGGTCAGCAACCCCTGCTCAGGCGGAATCGGCGGAGAAGGAGAAAGAGAAAGTAAAGAAGGAGGAGAAGAAGTCAGTCTCATTCCGACCATTGAAATGGATGCGAAGGGGGTCATCGAAGAGTAGTGATAAGGAGAAGAAGAAGAAGGAGTTCTCCAAAGTCAAAACAGCAAAAGGGAAATCGGTTCTCCTCGTTGGCGTCGATGGCCCTGTTCTCGACTGGTTTTACGATCCAAGACCAGATCAATATTCCCACTCCAGCTTCTCCGTCAATCTCCCATCTCAGATGGCAACAGTCGATTCTCTGTCGCAGTCGGTTCGGACAAGAGCTTCGAGCATCAAATACCTGAAGGATAGGAAAAGGACAAAGAGTCGGCTCAGCACGTCTTCAAGACGGTCCTTAGTGCATTTCGCGCCCTATGAAGGTGGGAACAGCAGAAACCCGAAGCCTTCAAAGTGAGCCATACTATCTCATTTACTCCATTGCTAACGGATCGCCGCAGGAGTATGCTGTATCTCCTTGAACTACCAGACGATCGCAAATGTGTCTGCATTGAACAAATCTTCAAACTCAACGAGTGTTACGCAGCATCTCCTCGCCAAGCCTTGGATGACTATGAGACTGTATATCTCGATATTCGTAAACGCCTGATTTATCCTGCGTTGAGGACTCTAGGAGATGATATTGGCCGTGCTATGGAGATAGTTGTCGAAGAGTAAGTGTGACTCAATTAGAGCCACTTCGTGCTCATTTGTCTGGAAAGTGTCTTCCTAGGCATCATATACGATAAGCTGTACACAAATTCGTTCAAGCTACTATGGGAGAAGCAAGATCACCAGCTCAACACCGTCACTGACTCCTACCGTCAACAAAACAAGACAGACTTGCTGGATCGTTTTCATTGCCGAATTGAAGATGCGGAAGCTCTCACACCTGCTTGTCACATCCTCGCCAGCATCGATGGATTCGACGAGGACGCGGAGTGGGAGATCTCCCATG